CATGTCGTGGTTGAGCAAGTTAGCCAATATAGCCAGCGCTGCTAGCTAAGCCGTCAGAGGACACATCAGCGATCCCCCCTTGTGGTGCGTCCGCCCTTCGGCTTGTTCTGTGTTGCGTCTTGTGGTGTTGCGTTGCCGTGAGTGTCGTGTTGCGTCGCCGTGGACTACGTGGAGTGTTACGCACGTCAAGGGTCCTCCTCCCCTCCCCTCGGAGAGAAGACAACGTGAGCCACACACGCTGACCCCGTGTTACTCGTCTTGAGGGTCCATCACATCATCCACCTCATCACCCACCTATTCACCACCACTAGAGCCAGTCACCCCTCTCTCTCACACTTCACCCGCACGTACAGAGAGGGCGGTGGCGCGTTGGTGCTTCTCTTCTGTCTGTTTGTCTGTCTGCCTCGGTCTTATCACGCACATCACACACACCCAGACAGGCACAGAGGAGAGGATACGCCAACGTATCACATATTAGCACGAAAAGATGATGGATTAGTTTGGGATTTGCATAAAGGAAGTGGATATTATACAAGTATTCAAATAGAAGATGCTTTAAGTTGCGGATACACAATTAGTTTTGTTGAAGGGAAAGAATGCCATGTCTTGGATAAAACAAGAAATATTCTTACATCATACATAAAACCATCATATGAGTTGAAGCAGCAAGCAGTAAGAGAAGGAGAAAAAGCTAAGAGATCACTATATAAACTATTAATGAATTCATTGTATGGCAAGTTTTTGCAGAAAGCACTTTACGAAGAAAGTATGATCATAACATCGTATAGACAATGGTTAGAGTTTCGTAGGGATTATAGATTTGAAAGTCATCATGTTACATCTGAAAAATGCTATTTAGTAGTCAGAGGTTAACGCACACATTGTGCCTCCCTTTGTGTGACCAGTTGACTGAAATCAGCAAGGAGCTCGCGGCTATCAAGGCCGCAGTGGGCAAGTACAACTCACGTCACGATGCCATCACATCAGGTCAGCGCGCGAGCGATCAAGGAAGCTGTCCATGTACGCCTGCTCTGTATGTGTTATTGTGGTTTGCATACCGTGTATGCAGAGTACAACAAGACCAAGGAGTTCTGCGAGAGCCGTCTGCAGAAGGTGTGTGAGGGTGTGGGTTGATTGGTTGGCATGGCTGGCGTCGCGTTTGTATGTATGTATGTCACTGCTGGAGGGCAGGTGTTGGTGGAGCTCAGAGGCGCCGAGCAGAACAACAGTCGGCCCGACGAGCCCGACAAGCTCGAGCTGGACGATCTCCTGGAAGAGGCCGGCACCGTCCGTTGGGAGCTCCGGGCGCGGCGTCCAGGAGCCCAAACTCCGAGCCGCCATCTACGGCGGCGCCACGGAGGACGAGAAGGCCCAGGCATACAAGGACTCCATCGGCTTCACGAAGGAGGAGTGGACTGAGGTGGTGTACCCATACCCGTCGATGCTGCTCACAAACAACCTATTAGGAGGTTGTCAGGCAGACACCCACGCCACACACACGCTACAGGAGGTTGTCAGGCAGACACCCACGCCACACACACGCTTACGTGCACAGATGTTTGGGCTGTACGATCTCGTGTGTGTTTGTCTGTCTGCGCGTAGGAGACGCATTCAACAGGGTCTATCACTCGCCCACCGAATTCACGCTGCCCATCGTCGAATCACAGCCGGTAGGCCCTGCGGGCTTACACGCCATACACAGCACAGCACAGAGGCACAGTTAGTGTAAGGCTGCCTTGTGTGTATGTGTGTTTGTGTCATGCAGGGCCGCGGCATCACTGTCGGAGACATCATCGAGAGCGTGTGCAAGTTCGAGGGCGGGAGCGTGACAAAAGAACCAGAAGACCCGGACGGCACTGTGTGAGCAGACAATAGAATGGATGGAACGACTCGCTTTGCGCCCCTTGAGCATCCACGTCTGTACGTTCCACGTCTGTATGTGTGTTGCCTGCCATCTATTCAGGTTCTGGATGATCGGCTCCATCAAGAAGGTCAAGGTCGAGAGATACGTCGTGAAGTACATGGCGTGAACGGACGACCCCACGAGACCAGATAGATGTTGCTCCGCGGCAGGCAGGGGAAAGTCCGGGTCGGGTTTTACCAGCTCTATGGACAGGAGCCGGCCCCAATGGTTGATGGTGTTCTTACTGGACGATGTGCCTTCGGCGGCGGGGATGGCGCAGAGGCGGGGCTTCCTCTTGGCGAGTTTCCTTACGAACTAAATCATTTGCTCCACCCAGTGGCCAAATGCCTCTGCAGCGAGACGGACGAAACGGCGATCCATTCTACTTTACACAGTGCTGAGCGCCTCTTCGGAGGCTGGCACACTCTTTCGCAGCGAACACCAAGAGTGGACCTCACCGGCTCGAGCTCGAGTGTTCGTTGCTCGCCCGGCTGCCTACGTCGTGCCTGTCCATGAGAGACAGAAGTTGGGTGCGTACCTGTTGAATTCTTGGCTGTGCATGGTTTGCCTGCTCGCCTCGTCAAACAGCGTCAGTTCTCAATGCAAAGATGCATACGTATAGACTGTCTGCCCGTCCTAGACCTCTGTGGGCCCGTCGGCCGTGCTATGCGCACTATTTATTTTCGTGTATGTTGCGTGTATCTATTTGTGGGTGAGACTCCCGAGGCTGGATAGCTACCGAGACTTGAGTGGACAGCTGTCCCGCCGGCTCGATGACCTTGAAGCTTCACAGATTGGCGAAATCAAGCCCGCTGCGATTGTGGTCCTTGCGTCACAGCCTTTCGGAACCGTGTAAACTATACCTCTGCTTGTACGGTGACCTCGCAGTGTGCGAAACCGCCAGACAGCTCTGAGTGACGTTGGAGTTTCCCCCCCCTGGGTCGGGCCACGATTCAATTACGGTTCCGCCGAGCCGAGGGAGCTGTCGAGTTGTATTGGCCAAAAGAGCACCTCAACATGCCATTGGCTCGGACAGTGGGCCAAGCTGTAGACAAGCTTTGGGAGAAGAAGGGATCCCTTGGCATCAGGTCCTCCAGAGTGAAGACGAAGACGACCCTTCTCGGCCTCGTCGAAAGCGGCTACGAGCCATTGCGAAAAAGCGGATTCGGCCCCTACCTGAGGGAAAACCGTGATGAGTTTGGGGATGTCATCGAGGATATCCCTTCCGATGACAAGGCAACGGAGAGAAAGCAAGCAAGCTCCAGGAGGAAGCGCCTACGTCGTCGCATTATATCGACTTTCTTGGAGCTTCAAACCATGCTGATCGGCCTCGCTACGTGCACCTTCATTATCATGGCCTACTACGACATCACAGAAGTCAATAAAATCAGCGCCCAATGGCTCATGTATGTGTTCGTGTCTGCTGTGGGTCTCTTCGTCGCAACAGCACTTTTTCTTGCACTTAGCTCTTCATGTATGCGCGTACACCAGTTTGCTGAGGAAGAGGGTGGGGAGGACGATGAAGATGAGGAAGATGCACAGCCTTACTCATCCTGCTATACAAGTACCTCTATCTGTGTACATGTTCGTAGTGTAAGAATCAGTGGATTTGCAGTGAGGCAGGTAAAGGCCGAAGCCTCATTCATGCGTGGAGTGGGCGCCAATATGGTAGAACAGTAGAAAAGACAGTACGGAACAATGTGCGTGTGCAGCCACTTTCCTTCTGTAGCTGGCGGTAAAGCAGCTGTTGCAATAATAGGGAGATTTCAATACTTCGGTATGCATGAAAAAAATACTCGAGGACCATCTGGCTTCCGTTCTCCTGTATTGAAAGCGGAAGCCTTTCTCATGCTCATATCTCTCACTTTGATCCATCTCGGTGTCGGGTAGAATTGCTTTCGAACGGGCGTGTTTTCTTCTTTGAAAGGGGCGGCGTGTGCATCTTCAGGTGTGTTAACGATCGCCAATCTGGATTAGACCATCGAAGACTGATGTTATCAGATGTTACAAGTCAATTGAGCTTCTTGTTCACCTTCCGAAGATGCGTAGAAACTTTGTCTTTGGTATTTCTGGTGCGCACCTGCCATGAGCGGAGCAAGACACACAGATATTTAACTGGCCAACAGTTGCTAAGTTTCTCATGGCAACTCACAAGTATGTAAACGCATGGCTAATCGATATTCAGCAGGACCTGCAGTGTCAGTGTCACGTCGTCGATCGTTATCTCAGTCGCCTGTTCGTTGTGTAATGAAGTATTTTCCTACGCAAAGCAGGAATCACGCCAGCTACCTCCTCAGAGCTCTGAATCGTGCGGCACGCACAAATAGAGGGTCTGACCGCCTTCGTATCTTCGTGTCTCCCTTTGGTAATAGAAGTGCAGCACACCCTTGAGAGGGAGAGCCTGTAAGAGATAGATGCTTGCATGAGGAATGATGTACTTATGTGCCTTGTCATCAACGTGCCTTGCCGATGAGAGATACTCCAAGTCCACGCATGCATGCGCAGGTGTGCGCATAGAGGCATTCAAAATATAGCACTCCAAGTCCAGACGTGCATGCGCAGGGGTGCGCACGGAGACATTCATGATATGCAGTTGTGCGCACAGGGGCATTCATGATATACACGCACTCCAAGTCCACGCGTGCATGCGCAGGTGGGCGCACAGAGACATTCATGATACTTTTTTGTGCAGGTGTGTGCATAGATACATTCACCACATACACGCCCTCTAACTCCACGCGTACGTGTGTATGCGCAGGTGTGCGGACAGAGATACCTCCTTCAAGTCCACGCGTGCAGGCGCTTGTGTGCAGACATTCATCCCATGTTCCGTTTGGACGTCCTTGCGTGCATGCGCACACCTTGCCAAGAGAGACACTCCCTTCTACTCGAGGCACTCGTGCATGTGCAGGTGTGCGCACAGAGACATTTATACCGTCTGCAAGTCCACGCCTTCATACGCAAACATGCGCGCAGAGGCATTCATCATATACGCCCCCTGCAAGTCGATGCGTGCATGCGCAGGTGTGCGCACAGAGACAATGATCCCATATACCGTTTGCGCGTCTTGCGTGCATGCACAGGTGTGCGGACAGACACGCTCTCTTCAACTCGATGCATCCGTGTAGGTGCAGGTGTGCGCACGGAAACTCTCATCATATACACGCCCTCCAACTCCACGCGTACGCGTGGATTCGCTTGTGTGCAAACAGAGGTATTTATCTTATATACCGTCTGCAATTCGACGCGCGTGTGCGAGGAGTGCGCCTGCAGTTGCATCATGTGTGAAATGAATATCTTTATGCGTTCACCTGCGCATACCTGTGGTTGGCCGGTGTGTATAATGAATGGTTTTGTCCGCACACTTGCACACCCTTGAATTGGCTGGTGTGTGCGATGAGCGTATTTTCTATCTATCGCCTGTGGACGCTTGTACTTGGTGTGTACAATGAATATCTCTGTGCGCACGCCTGCGCAAGCCTATAGTTGCGTGGCGTGTGCAATGAAAACCCTCCCTCAGATGGTGGAAGATGGGAAACTGCGA